TAAACACGGGTGTATTTCTATACACATGACCGTGTTGAAACACAACCACTAAAACGGATGTGTTGTGAGGTTGAACACGGGCATGATTACGAATACACGCCCGTGTTGTATCTGGCCTTGATAGACATTGTGCTATGAGTTTAAACACATCCATATTTCAGCTACACGACTGTGTTATTAATACATGGCTTAGTACGTGGGCGTATTCATTCCCCTGCACTATTCTATTTTATGAACACAACCGTGTGTTAAGCGTACACGGACGTGTTTTTTATACACGGATTGATACATGGGCGTATGGATCCCCCTGGCACTATTTTGTTTTATGAACACAATTGTATGTAAAGGTACACGATTGTGTGTAGCATACAGGGACTAGTACATGGATATAAGATTAAACGTGAGCACATTTCTTATTTACACGCCCTTGTTGAAAAAAGACCACTAAAAAAGGTTGAACATAGACGTGTTTTTATAATACACGGTCATGTTGACTTTATCCATGAGAGATCCAATAGTTCAAATTTTGTTAGAAATAAAAAAAAAAAAAATTATCCCATGAAAACCAACCAATTTATAACACGCCCAGTTGGCTCATACTGTAAATGATACTGCCATTGTAACACCCCCAACTGACTCATACTAAATACCGCCACACTGCGTCATGAGGTGTTAAAAGCTAAAATTAACTATAAAAACATCTTATTATTTAACACAATCCGAATTATGAATATTTACAAAAATACGCTCCTAAACAGAAGATTTTTCTAGTTAGAAATTTACAAATAATATACGAATAAGTTCATTTATTCAGCCCGTCTTTCTATATTTCGAGATGTCCCTTGTCATGGACGTGCCATGCATACTTGAACCAAATGTTTTTCTTACAAACAGTTTTGAATTAAATCTATTTTAAGAACTAACATAAAATATGTCATGGCATGCTTAAAAATGAAGTTTAATCTTCGTCATTTACAATCTAAGTGCACGCCATGCCAATAGTGAAGTAATGCAATAATAGTTCCGAACTAAAAAAAACCATGTACATATATATACATCTATCAAAGTGAGTAGATAGAATAACCTCGTCTCCATAATAACAAACTCACTAGACCATCATCAATAAATAGCCGGAAAATCATTGGCTGAAAGAAGGACCTGATAAACCCATAATAATATAACAGTCATCCGGTCACTTCCATATACCCACCATACGACTCCCACAATCAATACATGTCGAACGTTATCGTCATTAACCACAAGACGCCTCATAGTTTGCGATAGAGAAGATATGACCCTCCTGTTTAGCCCTACCCCATATATGTAGTAGAATTCGTGCAATCTGGAATTACTCAAGGGAAACTCGAAAAGTCTCCTCCTCCTCGCGCGTCCTAACGAGATCACGTTTGGAGTTTGACATATGATCCTAAACTACCGATAGACCTCACCAGGTGCAAATCTAATGAGTGGAACAAACATCTAATACGAATAATTAAACCAAATATGTCTACTAAACGATAGATCCCTAAAACATATCCGATAAACTATGCAATATGTGTATAGCATGTCAATTGAGTTTACCGAAAATGGTTGGTGAGATAGCTCACCATCCTCATTTTCAGAAATTCAACAATACGATCAGATACGTATATCAAATATCATAAAATGCGAAGTCTCACACATTTATACGCCAACACATATATAGATAGATACATGCACTAACAAAATGATCCACATAATATCATATTAATATTACAATCATAATCGCATGCAACATGTATACCTAATTTCTTAAAATTAGATTTAATTTCCTACTGTTAACCTCTTATCGACACCTCTGGCTTTTGCAATCTCACTCAAATCTCCTCCAATGTGCACATGCTCTGTTATTTATTCAAATCAGATGAACTATATGTTTATTCATAAGGAGTTACTTGCTTATTCAAAAGCTAATTTTTACAAATAGCTCGTCGATTCTCAAACTTTTATATTTAGTGGAATACTATATTATAGTTATAAAATCTTTATACTCATAATATTTATATCTCCCGATTATTAAATAAAAATTCTTAAAGATATTAACAGAAAAGCCGGTGCAATACGCTGTCGTTCTCAATTCGGTTTGGATCGAGACAAAATTCTTAGATTACGATCCTAGGATTATGATAAGACTATTAACTAAAGAAATTCGTCGATTAAATAGTCGAATAGTCAATTATAAATTTCTAATTTAATATCTCAATATTCAAATTCATATTGAGATTTATAATCAAACTCTTCATATAACAAAAAATACAATATCGAAGTCAAAATTGAAATTAATTAACTAAATCTTTTTCTTTCCTTTTAATCTTTCTTCCTCCATTTCCCCTGGGTTTCATCCTTCTGTTCGAAATGATAGGGTATGGTTTGCTTTGTTTTTATATATATAGATATATATATTATTATGATTATTATTATTATTATTAACCACCATTCTTATCTATTTATTATTATTATATTATATAAATATCTACTTATCTAATCCACTATCGTATCTTATCTTATATACTATATATTTGGAATCGAAAGAGTTTCGCCATGTCGTCTCTTTAATTTTTTTTTCCTAATTTTTTTTATGTGAGCCCCACTATTTTAAAATAATAAAAAAAATGAGCAAGTGATAGAGAATTGCGGCCGAATATTTTTAAATTGTATATTTAAATTTAATTTATAAATATATTTTATAAATTATTATTTTTTTTTTACATTTGTTCCTCTATTAGGTATATATTTGATTTTTTTTTTTATGTACAATTTTTAATATTAGTTATATAATATTCATACCTAATACAAATTAAAATATAAAATAAAAATACTTGTATTAGTGTTATATAATACAAATGTAATGATATTTATATAAATTATTATTCAAATGTAAAAATATTTTTAATTTTAAGTACAATGTAATAAAAAGAAAATGAATATTTTGACGAAAAATATAGGTAATATTCTACTAATATAATACTATTAATTATATTTTTTATAATTTTTATTTTAAATATAATTATTTATTATCATACATCACATCAAATCTCTCTTATTTTATCAAATAAAATTATTACACTCAATCTCATCATTCAAATAGAAAACCTACGTGTAGACATATGTTAAAAATCTACACTTCAAAATATTCCAAACTAAGATCACACAAGTAAATACACTATTTAAAATTTGGATTTTAAAATGAAATTAACATTGTTCAATTTGTTTATGACAAAATATTATATAAAAATATTAATTAAACTAAAAATTGAATTAAGAATCTAATTCAAATAAAAACCAAATAAATACTCAAATTTATTGAGAATGAAATTATAAGAATAATAAGAATAAAATTTGAATTTTCTCCTAAAAACGTAAATAAGTATATAAAAAAAAACTTATAAAAATTCGAGTAGACAACACTAATATTATATGAAGATCCAAAAAATATGTAATTATATTAGAATTAAAAAAAAATAAAGTAAAATAGTAGCAACAAGTTAATGAAATTTGACATTGACTTCGTTCAAACATTTTAAATTTTTTATCGATACAATTTTCAACTAAATTATAATTTTAAAATTATTTATAAAAATATGAGTAGACATCACTAATAGTATAGATAAATATATATATATATATGTGTAGTTAAATTATTCTTTTCGTTCTAATTAAAAGTAAAATTTTTACCGATTTTGTTTGTCTCATTTTAAAGTATTTATTTTCTATTTTAATAAAAGTAATCATACACTAATACGAAAATACTCTTAACTTTTAATTAAATTAAAAACATATTATTACACGTATAATTACTTTATATATAAAGTCAATGAGAAAAAAACGTCAAAAACCTTTTATATACTTTCACTGACCAATAAAATACTATTATTTTTTAATACTACAAAATCCCAAAGAAGTACATTCGAGTAAGACCGAGGGAGTACGGTTTAAAAGAATAAATTAAAATGACAATTGCAGGTATGAAATTTGATTTTGAGTTTGTTCATACATACTATTTCCAACTAAATTACAATTAATATTTTATATATATAAAAATATGAATAGACATCACTAATATTATACTTCCTTCGTCCCATTGAAATATTGTCATTTTTCATTTCCGTCAGTAAAAAAAAAAAAAAATTATCATTTCCTAATTTAGTACTCTTTCAATCTCACTTAATTTGTCAACTCTTTAATTCTATTTTCGTCTGTCTCATATAATTTGTCATTTTCTTTTTGGGACATATAATTATACACTTTAATCACATTTTAAAATTCATAATTTATAATTATTTTAATTTTAATAACTATATAGTCATCTTAAATATTAATCTATATTTATTTTCACTATTGCATTTCTTAATTACTTACTAATTACACAATATCTAAAACTTCGTGGCTACACTAATGAGACAAATTAGCTGGGACGGGAGAGTAATTTTACTACCTACCTAATATAATAAATACAATTCTAACTTACAATATATTATACAAATGTCTATTACTTTATATTATACAATACTAATATGTGTATTTTTATCATTTTTTAATACAATTCAATATAATACTAATATTAAAAAATTTAGATGTAAAGAATAAACCGAAACCTCTCAATGGAACGGATAGAGTATATAAACTCATTTTTTATAATATCTATATTAATCGATAAAATCCATCAATATCTAATCTTTAGAATACTAAATGTTAATCCTATAAAATATTTTAATTTATTCGCATAATTTTTATATTAAAAAGTTATTTATTTAATAATAAAAATTAATTTTAATACTTTAATAAAATTTAAAATCACGCCGCGCGTAGCATGGCAACCCGATTAGTATACTATATATTTACCGACTAAACTGTTCTGCCACGTGGTGGTGGTGGTGGTGGTGGTATACAATTTTTTTTCCTTTTTATTATATTTCTTTAATTTTCCCCTCACCTTTTATCGCGACTCGATTTCTCAAACCGCCGTCTCATTTCACAGCCTGATTTCTTAGACCGCCGCCGCACAGCCCTAGACTTTCGCAATCATGATCTCCGACCAAAAAATCTCTGCCGCACTGCACACTTCGCCGATTGGGTTGCGCCGCCATGTGGTCACTCCCTCCCGTTGACACCCGCACCAACACCGGATTCTGGAAAGATAGGAAACGATTTACACTAATTGAAAGGTTATTTGTATTATTTTCTACCTAATTTTCTATATTGTTCTACTATTTTGTTACTGTTGTGAAAGCACCCAAAACTCTTTAGTTACTGTTCTACATTTGTGCTTTCGTGTTAATTAGATTATTGAGAAGAATTATCAGGTGGAATGTCGAGCTTATAAATTACTCATTGTTTTTAACTGCAATTACTGCTCCACATTTGTGCTTTCATATTGATCTAATTGTTGAAAAGAATTATCAGATGGAATGTCAAACTTATAAATTACTCATTATTTTTAACTGCTTATCTTTGATAGGGGTTTAAAACCAACACCTTAGGATGAATTTTTGTATATCAAATCATTAAGGTAGTTGCAGAGATCTAATCAATAACCTGGAGTATGTTTTAGGTAGTAAAAAATCTTTTTTTAGATATTTTCATGCAGTTGAACAGCTATGAAATATATTAAAGGAAACTGTCTATGTTGAAGTATTATACTTTGAAGTTAAAATATATCGTGCGGTTGCTATCTTTCTCTTAGTTTTTCTCTGTTCTGTGGGAGTCTTCTCTTGAGGATGATTTCTAGAGGTGCAAAGAGTTGGTGGGTGTTAAATTCGCAATTCATGTCATGTTTTGGTTCCATTACAAAAGTTCTTCAAAGAATATTGCTTGCAGAGAAAATTATGGTGAGACTGCAATTCTCCTTTGGTTGTTGTTAGCTTTAGTTTTATTTTGGGTTAATATATGATACTTAATTATCTGCACGTGTTGCCTATATATGATGAACTTTCATATCTCATATCTTCTTCTTAAGATACTATTTGTATATGCAAATAATTTCTTTTTTGCTTTATTTGTTTGCTTGATTTGTTGTTTGAACAAAGGGCTACATTAAATGAATATGATGTGTTTAATATTTTTTAGCTCATTTTTTAGTTATGTATGGCAATTTGGTTCTTCTTGTTGTTCAATACAATAGACATATTCATAAATTTTACTGAACTGTTTGGATGGGGATTTCGTAATTTCGATTTTCTTTCATAAATTAGGGATGATCCTTTTGTTTTTCCTTTAGGATTCTAGAACACATGGTCCATGCCTGTCGTAGGACAGAATTTTACCATAACTTAGCCTTCACTATCCTGTAACTTACATCAATGAAAAAATAAAAAATAAAATAAAGTGTTCTTATTCATTCATTCTGGCCACTATCTCTTCAGCCAAGAGAATCCTTTTTCATTCTAGTGTGAAAAAAATGTTACATCAATTAATTCTTTATAGTTGCAAGTACAAATGAGTTCTTTCATGTTGTAAATATTGAATTTCTTTTAATTATGCCTGCTAAGCCGTTATAGTCAAAGATTTAAACAAATGTCCAATGTATAAAACAAATGATGCATACATAAGAGTGGCTATTCCATTAGAAGCTCAGAAAATACATAGTGCATTTAATAGTTACACCTTGCAAAGAAAACCATGAAGGTATCACATATATAGTTCATTTTCAGATGCATATACAAAACGTCTCCTTCATAAAATTAAAAATCAAGTTAGCTTCTTCAAACGACAATGTCCACTATCTAATGAATACCATGTTTAATAAGATATGTATGCAATAATTAAATCAACATAATAAATTAAAAGAGAACCAAATAAAAATAAATAAATAAATGTTGCGATTTACTCCTTTATAGTTGCACAAGAATGGTTATATTCTCTTATGGAATTTTCTATATGAGACATGAGAATAAAAATAACAACTTTGGAGTTCCTTAGAACAATGAATAGTTATAATAGTTCTTGACTGTCGTTTGAATTTTCCATGTATCATGGCCCGAAGACCAGTTACCTGGCATTTTATTTTAGATGAAATTATGGTTGTCCTTTGATATAGTTGACGGAGCATTTGACAACCCATAAAAACTATGATCTTATACATTAGTCACTTCATTGCTATGAAATTGAATATGTTTAATAAATTTTTAAATTTGTAATGAATTCTTATTTTACAGATGGATACGGCATGAGCCTTTAACAAAATTGCTCGATTAAAAAAAAGAAGAGAGATGCGTGTGAAGGAATATAATAGAAATATAAATGCTAGGCTGAGAAATATTATTGACAACATCGGAAAGCAATATTACAGGCTTTGCGAAGCTTGCAATATTCAAATTGAAGCTTCTGTTTCTAACATCATAGAGGAAAGAAAACTGGAATCTCTTCGTGAACAGTTGGATACAAATATTTATATTTCAGAAGAATCTATGTAGGAGGTATATAAGTTGATGTTTATAATAATATACTTTCATATAATATCAAAATGTTAATAATATTAATTTACTTTCACAAATTTATATTATTTAATATATGTTTTTTTATACTAATTTTGTGATTATTGTCATTCAATTGATTCTATTGCTAATACATATATGTTTCTTTAGCATAATTTTTTCTAAATTGTACTATTTGGACTCTGGGTTTTCCGAAAAAAATATATTTTTTCCTTTCACAAAACATCCCATCAAACATTATTTTCATATCAAACCCAAACAAAATTTTTTTCAAACTCATCAAAAGAAACACACCAACACACTAAATTTATAGGTATTTCTCTACAGAATGTAGATTTATATTTGCCCGTTGGATCATCACAACAACATTATGTGTGTGTCGATGAATGTATTGATTATGTAATAATATTCTAATTTATTGTTGTTGATATTAACGTATAATATTATTTTAGTTTATAAAATTTAATTGTTTTATATTCCACAAAGTATTAAATTCCATTTATTCTTTTTATTTTTAATATAGATTTTTTTATTTTTTTTATTTTTTGTTATTTGAAATAGGTAGGTCTGAAAGTGATGATACAATTGTATGAAGTACTTTTCCGGAACACAACTCTAATACGGAGGAATCAAATCTTGCGAACGTTCGTGAAAACATAGGTAAGCTTTTTTAAAAACAATTAATTATCTTTTTTTTATCAGAAAATATAATTATTATCTTTTAATTATATTTTTAGTCCATTTGCATATGTCCACATCATATTCTCTTTCCGCCACATGAACAAAAAAATACATATTTTTTATATTTATATAAAAATATTTATTTTAAAATTAAATTTTAACAAAAATATATCAATATATATCATTGTGTAGATAATAAAATTATATTAAAATAAAAAATATAATATATTTATTAATAAATAAAATTAACATTTATTATATATAATATTATATACATATTTACACAATTTAATAAAATATGCATTTACTTATATATATATAAAATAATAGTTGTATCAGTTATACCACGTTTCCTAAGATAACATGCAACTCAAAGATTGTTCCTCGGGTGAACGAGATATCATATGTCGCCATTGTGGTGCATTTATGTGGTTCCAAGAGAAAGTTCTTAAAAGTCGTAAAGAATTTCCAACTATGGGAGCATATCCTTTCCCTGAAAGGTTTTTGTTTGACAACAAGATGCCAACCCAATAGCATCAGACATGTCCTCTCCTTGAGACATCAAAAAAGTTTCCATCTTGTTCTTCCAATTTCGATAATTTGTTTCATCGAACAATGAAGGTCGTGAGGTTGAACCCCCTTCCTTTTTCATTTTCGCAATTATGAACAGATTTACTAGTGACTTCTAGAACACTACTCTGATGCTAGATGTTGGAAAGTGGGGCTCTACAAAAACACCTTCGAACACCAACAAAGGGCCAACTCCCTAAAGTATGGTTACGTCACATTAATAACAACACTTTGTTGACGGAATAAATGCAGAACTCCAAAGCAATAAATGAGACAAGGTATTTAGTAACACGTTTTGGTTATAAATCAACCTACATATGGAGATAACAGTCCAAGAAATATTCTACTATAATAAACCCTGATTACAAAACTAAAACAACCACAAACTCCTTCAACTCATTCCTCTACAATGGCTAATCTTGGAAAATACCCCCACAGGCTCTGGCTGTCACAAACGTGTACTGACAATAACCATAGAGTAAGACAGGTCAGAGCTTTGTCATCTCCTCTAGTTGGAACTCCGATTACTTCGATCTCCGATGACTTCTCCGGCGGATTAAGGTGTTAAACATGGCTTCAAATCCTCGGCATCAAGAGTCTCGGTCCCATTCAGCATCACCCAATAGGAGAATGACACATGTCAGTTTAATAATATTCTTTATTTTTTATTTTTAATAAATAAATTTAGAAATTTACTAATATTTGCAAATCGGTCCTTCTATTTCTCTTTCGCTATTGCCATTTTCATTCTCTCTGTCCATTCATTCCATGTTCGTAGTCATTCATTGTTTTTGCTATGCGTAGCTTGTCCTCATCCTCGTCGTCCCTGTCCCCGTACTCCACCCCAGCTCACCCAGCAGCCCCCGTGGTTGGCTTTCTTTCCTCATTTCTGTAAAACCTGCAGTTTATTTTGACATTAAAAAAGTGTAAAAAAGATAAATTTTTCGTCGTTGGTCAGGCCAGCTCCGTAGCCGGCCGGCCAGCCCCGTGGCAACAGCATCATTGGAACATTTTTTTCAGAATTATTTTCAATTTCAGTCAAATTTTGTTGATTTGGGATTTAAGTTTGGATTTTTTTATTTTTTTTTGTGTATTGTGTTAATTTTAACACGATTGATTTAGACTTGTTACATTTTGGTTTTTATTTTTTAAATTTTATTATTTTTTTACTCAATAGATTTTGTTGATTTAGGGTTTATATTGTTTGAAATAATTTGATATTTAGATATGACATAGGATTAATAGTTTAGATAATGAAATTTAGTGCATTGCGTTGAGTTTTACTACAATAATCATAAATCTGCTAGCTTTGAGAGAGCTATAAAGAACCAGGACAAGCAAAACAAGGCACAACCTACTGCTTAATTAGTAGCTACTGCAAAAAGGTCAAGTCGCGAGGTAAATGTTGTGAATTTTTTAGATCTTGTGATGTTTATTATAGTAGTAGTCTGACCTTTGTATTTGTTTTATTCAGATTTTGGTGGGAGTGAATCCAAAAAACATTGTGGCTCAAATGCAATTTCTACTATGATTGTTCACCTTTAGGCCTGATTGAGTATTTTCTGTGGCCTTCTGATTATTCACCTTATGGAATGTCTGGTTATTTGCTATGTCCTTCGAATTATTTACCTCACTTGTTGGCCTCCCAGAAACAGTGGATGATATATTGCACTAGTTGTCTTTTAATTTTCCTAAAAAGCAAGGAATATTTGTAGTAATATAGATACGTTCTTTTGCTTGTTTTACCTAGAGGTTTATGATTTTATTTGGGATTGTATTGAATTATTTGATCTAGTATTCAATTATTGATTTCATTAGGTTTTACTTTCACTTTTACCAATATGTCTATTAATGTAATATACATGTATGATTATTTATTTATTTCAGGATATGAAATTTTAATAATTTAGAGATGAATAAATTATTCATCATCTCGTAAATTAGACTTCGAGAATGTGGAAATGAGTTTGAAATTCTTGATGTAAATAGAATAGGAGCAGAAGCAATTCCTCATATTGGAATGGAGTTTCATACAAAATAAAAAGAGTATCAATATTATTTAGCTTATGCTAAATAAATGGGCTTTGGAATGAAAAGTCATAAGCTACATAAAGATAAAGAGGGTAAGATAACTTACAAATTATTTTCGTGTAGTGCTAAAGGGAAGCGGAGAGGAGATAAAATTAGTATCAATGTCAAGGCTCCACGGCCGATAACAAAATTTGAGTGCAAGGCTCGAATGAAAATTTCTTTGAAAAAGAATGCAAAATATGAGGTAGTTGAGTTCATTCTGAACATATGCATCATCTTGCTAGTCCTCAGAAAATACATTTTCATAGATTGCATAGAAAGATAGGTGATGCTCATGCCGCAAAAATTGAGATGGCAGAATGTGTGGGACTTACTCCAAAAGTCTTGCATTGTCTAATGGTTAAATAAGCCGGTGGCCGAGACAATTTAGGATTTGCTAGGCAAAATTATAAGAATCATTTGCGCACAAAAAGAACAAAAGATATGAAAATCGGAGATATGAGTGAAGTGTTTGAGTATTTGCAAGGGATGCAAAGTAAAGATTTGAATTCTTCATATTCCATTCAAGTGAATCAAGATGACATGATAACTAATATATTTGGGGCTGATGGCATAATGAAAGCAGACTATGATGATTTTGGAGATGTTGTGAGTTTCGACACAAAATATAGAAAGAATAGAATAAGTGGGCCTCTTGCTTTGTTTATTGGTATTAATCACCATAAACAGACGATTATTTTTTGTGCTTCACTTCTATATGATGAGAAAATCCCTTGATTTCAATGGCTGTTTGACAAATCTGCAAGCAACATGGGTGGAAAAAAGTCTATTATTATTCTGACAAATCAAGACCATGCTATGCTATGGCAAATGTTTTGGCTTCAACGTAGCCTGAAAATTGTCACAGATTATGTACTCGGCATATATATCAAAATGCTACAATACATTTAAGTGGAATTTTTGAAAAGCATAAAGATTTTATACATGACTTTGGAAGATGCATCTACAACTTTGAAGAAGAATATGAGTTTTTTGCACGAATGGAATAAAATGTTAGTAAAGTATGATATCTTAGAAAGTGATTGGTTAAAAAAATTGTTCAGAGTAAAAGAGAAATGGGCATTGGTATATGGACGTCAGTTCTTTTGTGTTGATATCACTACGACACAATGTAGTGAGAGTATAAACAGTGTTATCAAAAGGTATGTTAGTTTTAAGAACCCATTGCGAGTATTTTGAACGCTTCGAAAATTTGATTGAATCTCACCGGTATGAAGAGTTGACAGCCAATTTCAAAGAAAGTACAAGTGCTCCGGTCCTTTCTTTGTTTGTTCACTTCTTGAAACATGCGGCAAGCGTGTATACACCTGAAATTTTCAAAGGTTTTCAAAAAGAACTCGGAAGGATTATAATTGCGTAGGTGTCCTTAGTCACACACATGAAACAATTTCAAACTATCATGTGAGTTATTTTGGAGGAACAAAACAACATGTTTTTAGTTTTAACTCTCAAAATGACAATGATTGTTGTAGTTGTAAGAAGTTTGAATTTGGTGGGTTGCTGTTTTCTCATGCGTTAAAAGTCCTCACAACTGATAGTTGGAAATCACATGTATTTTATATTCATATCATATGCAATATTTGGGTGATTTTGATTGGATTCTACCTAATTTATATGCGAATTATGTATTTGTTGTGTGCAGAGGGCAAATATCAAATTTGGCATAATTGGCAGAAAAAATGAAGAAAAATTCAGATTTGCACAACCTAGTTAGTCATGACCATGACTAACTACACCCTCTTGATATGAGAAATTAATTAAAGGCCCAAAAGCCCATCTACAAAATAATTAGGGCAAACATTAAATAAAAGGGGGAGAGATACGCCTATTTGAAAAGAGAACGGCTAGGGGAGAAACGCACAGGAGCAGGAGACTGACAGATTCATAGATCGCGCAGGAGCAAATCGACAAAGAAGATTTCTCCCTCCCACTATGACTTCATCTTTCTCTTTTGTTCTTTGTTATTTAATTATGGAGTAGATACTTTTCTGGTTTGAGGGGTGATAATGTTTTGGTTCTTTTGTTTTGGAGATTCTTGATTTTCTTTATAAAAGTTCTTTTTGATTATCAATATTTGTCTAATTCTGATAATAGCGTTTGTGATTGTTAGATTGATTGAGTATTTTGGTACCGGTATTTAAATTAGTTTAATAATCTAAAGTCAATTCAAGTAGGATATCCGTAATTGTATTCGCACTTGAATAGGTGACAACCGGGTTGAATAGTTCCTTTCCGGGGGTTAGACAATCAAATCTAATTGCTCCTCTTAGGTAGTAATTGTTTTGAATTGGGTTTTTCTAGATTGGAATGCGATTAGGCAATATTCTTATGGGTGCACCTAGGTTTATTTGCTTAATTAGGGGTAGTTAACGGTCGTACCTTAATTACCTACACTGTAAGGAAAAATTGGTTGTCAGAGCTTGTTGATAACTATAACCAATTTATTGATACTTTAATAAGAATTAATTTTATAGAATTAATGATAGAACACAAGTGCCAGCATCATCCCTTGAGCCAGGCATTCCCTTGATAGTCAGTTCTCTCCTTAATTTAATTGCTTTGTTATTTTATTTTCATTAGATAATAAAAGAAAAATCCTCATTTATTTACTGCATTAGAATACGAAAGAGTGAATCACACAATCCCTGTGGAGACGATCCCTTCCCCTATATTACATTAAATTATGATCACGGAGTAGGTGAAATATTTGATTGACCGCGCGACAGGTCAACAACTCATAATGTTATGAAGATTCCAGAACAATATATGATGAAAAAATGGACAAAATGTGCCAAGTTAGAGAGGGTGGTCTCCTTAGAATAGAATGTTGATGATCCAAAAAGGAGTCGAGTATGAGATGCAAGGATTTAATTTGTTCTTCAACAAACTAGTAATAAGAGCTTCAGAAACCTATGAAATTGTAAAAGAAATATTTGTTAAGACCACAAAGAGGGTGAATGAACATTTACTAAAGAGAAATGTTGTGTCTGAAAGATCATGTGTGAGAGATACTCAATCATTCTTAGGAGTTGGAAGCACTGCGGAGAAAGTAGGCAACATACAAGTGAAGGGGATAGAAACAAAAGTAAGTGTACGTTTGAGTAAAAGACCCAAAAGTGGATTAGAAAAAAAAATTCAAGAAAAAAAACAAGTAAACTGAGATATAATAAATAATATTTTAGCTAAGATAAAGATGCATTAATGCTGTTTATTTTTAATTATTCTATCTTATATTATATTACTATAAATAGATTATTCCTTATGCAACAATCGATAAATGAAATATACATTGAAGATGATGTCATTCAATTGCAGCAATATCAAACAACCCTGTAACAAGTTATGCTTTTTTGAAAAAAAGAAAAACAAACTTCTTTTGGATCTTATCGTATACTTCTTATACTTGGATTTTGTCTTTCTATTTCATTTGTAATTATAGATTCAAGCATTTAATTCAATGCCAAACATACATACTCAATGCCTACCTAACTTGACAAATGCTATGAATTTCACTGAATTACTTAAAGTATTTTTTATATTGCAATCTGTAGTGTTATGAAATGAATTATTGTATTTTTGCACAGATAGTAATATCTACACTTATATAGGTTTAATCAGTCCGTAATAGCACCCAAAAAGTTGGTAATGTTACAGGAGATCACAAATCATAACTATCTACTTTGGAATGATGGAGATGGACTTGGAATGAAGTTGTTGTATTAGCATTAGGATCTTGTTAACGATTTGTAAGTGCAATTATTATTAATTTAAAAACTGTTTCTTTCATAAGCATCATTAGTCTATGATTTATTGATTACTAGTTATATAATTGACAAATATACCTCATATGTTTGATATTACTCTTTCCGGGTAGTGAAACTTGATCTGCCTAAAACTACAGTTGGCTATGTGTATCGCATTGGATGTATCAGAATGAAATACAAATACTAGTACATAGACTCTTTATTAAGATTATTAATCTGGAATTCTAGCTTCTCTTTTGGAAAATCTCTCTTGGGGACTTGGAAAATTTTGAAGATGTTATAGACTTTTAGATCTAAATTCTTATGTGTTGAAATATATTCAAGTGCCAAGGTAAGAAAAATTTAGTGATGTGCACTTTATTTCTTACATTAACTAGTAATTGATGTAAAGCAATCTTAATCCTAAATTTGGGGTTAGTCTCAATAGATTGCCTTCTGCATATGTGATATTTGTATAATTGGTATTGAAATTGAAATTGATAGGCTGACTTTTGCATATCTAGAGTTTTTTTTTTTTTTTTTCAGGTTATGGATGCTAAGCCATTTTGAATGAAGGTTGTGGACAGAACATCAAGGGTCAGACATTCTTGTTGATTTTCTATTGTAAATGATAAAAATTCAATATGTTATCTTATTTTATTTAATATGGTGAACAAAGTGTAAGGAGAAAATGTGTATATATGTGTATTTGTATGCTGTGAGTGTGAGGAGAAAAATTGCTCTCTGATGTCTCTACTAAATATGCAGATGAATTCTTTTGTAATACTGATGAACCATTGTAAAGGGTCTCGGATTGATGTTGAATTTTTTCAATGAGTAGAGGCTACTGAAGTTGTATGTCCTATCTCAAATTTGCCACAAAATGAATCATTGCGGGAGTGAATCTACATAACAGAAGTATTGGTTCAATTTAGAAACATTAATTGAAAATCTAACATCGAAGTTGGAATAAATATGCACAAGCATTCTTGATGAAATGATCATCAACATTATCTTGGCTAAGATGTGATGATTCTTCAAAGTAATCTGCACATGTATTTTTATCTAGGATCAGCTCTACCAGTCACATGAGGCATAGATCCAACGACAAGCACCCTCCACCTATGACACCAGTTTTGGTTGTAAGACACTCTGTTTTCGTGTTGTGATAAATATTGTGGAGCATATAACATCGGTTGTGTCCCTTAAAAGAATCATCCAAACATGTAAGACTACAAGCTTAATGGTGGAAAATATGTAGAATGTATGTATGCATATATATATATATACTTACATTGCGTAACCAATGAAAAGCAAATATTGAAAACAATGATAATATCAGGTTGCACCTGCATTTCACAATATTCTACAATAAATTATTCTAAAAAGGAAACAAAAAAATAAAAACAAACATATTAAAATCTTTCTTTGCAGGCAGAAGTGTAAAAGTTTGAGACTGAAAAAACATTTTGATCTTGAACTCTTTTAATTTTTTCCACTTCGTCTCCAATTGTTCTGTTTTTCTTGTCGATGCCTTTAAATATTTGCACCTCCTCTCCAATTTCTACATTTCCATATTAAAAAACTTAAATTGAACCACATTTGTAAATTGTATCTATCTTGTGAAATTAAAATTTCCCAAAATGTAAGAACACTAAATCGATTATTTAAACTTGACACAAAGAACAACAATGTAAATACTAAAACAACAAAATAGTATCATGATTTAAAATTCCCAAAAAATAACACCAATTAATCTAAAAAGAATCGACTGCGAGGCAATGTTGAGTACCCAACCATATACTTGGGGAAGTAGAGAAAGCCGGTGTCTGAAGGAGGCAAAGCAACGACGAGAGGACTGAGGACAGCGACGATCTTGAACAAAGAGTGTTTCGACAAAGGTAATAAATTTTTTTTTTTTTTTTCTCCGCAGAGAGAGAGGGCAGAAAAATTGAATAGCTATGTGCCGATGACGACTGGGGCTCGTGGGCATGATGGAGAGAGCTTGACGACGACCGGGCTGGTGGGCGAGATGGGGAGAGCTGAATGATGATGAGTTGTGTGAGGGTTGGCTGAGAAAACGCGACAAAAATTAAATGGGGAGCGACTAATCTGCAAAAAATCAATAAACTTTTAATTTTATTTATCAAAAATAAAAAATAATTGGTGATTTTGTTTAGGTTTGGATTTTAAGTTGGGATTTAAATAGTAAAAATTTTGAATTTGAATAGTTGTATGATGTGATATAAATAGGTGTTGATGTGATGTTTTGAATGTAAAATTAATTTTTAGTATAATATAAAAAATTGAAAAATAGGTGTTTGATTTGATGTTTTTGGAGGAAAAAAAATTTGATGAATAGTGTAAATTCAATCTAATCCCCCAAACAAACACACCCAAAGAATATTATTAAACTGACCGGTGTCATTATCCTATTGAGTGATGTTGAATGAGACCGAGCCGCTTGATGCTGAGAATCTGATGTTCGTTAAACACAGATTCAAATTGTAAAGATAAAAGATGAAAAAATGTGAGAGTTTAAGAAAAAAAAGGTTTCTCTCTCGGTTAATAAACAATCATAGAAGAAAAACAAAATTCTTCATTAATTTCTCTTTGCACTTAAGCGGGTTGGTGTGTCTTAAGGAATCTTACACATTTTGATCATCCCCAATTTTTTTTTTGGCAAAATTGTTCATAACTCCCTTGTTGTTTTGAAACTCAACGTAAATTCCCCTTCTACTTTAAAAATTGTATGACGTCCCCTTATACTTTAAAAAATGTTGCATGAAACTACTTTGTGGTTTTGAAACTCAGCATAAATTCCCATTTTACTTTAAAAAATTGCATGACACTCACTTATACTTTAAAAAATATTGCATAAAACCCCCTGCCATGCAAAACATATAAATAGGAAATCATCTTTTTATCACATGAGGAAAGTTTCATGGTGGTGGGGCTTTATGCAACGTTTTTTAAAGTATAAGGAGGTACCATGCAATTTTTAAAATATTTTACGCTGAATTTTGAAATCAAATAGAAATTATAAGCAATTTTACCTTTTTTTTTTTTTTTTTCTCATGTATGAACTTAAAAGAAGAGATAAAGGATAAAGATAAACAAACCCAGACTTGTTGTGCAACTAGTTGCAGTAACAGACTTACTCGAAATGGAATGAACAAGTAAAAAAAAAGAAAAATTCATTCACATGAAGTATAATAATAGTGAGTTTTCCGGCCAACTTAAGAGAAAACCTTCGAACTAGTTTCCCATTAATGGATATATGAAAGAAAAAGATAATAAAATCTAGAACTAATATAAAAGAATGTTAGAATAATTAGATAAATGCAGCAAAAACGAAAAAAAATAAAAATAAGTAAGATAATTTTATATGAAATTGAAAGTATAAAATAAGTGCAATACAAAAAATAAAGAACAAAAAATAAAACATAAAAAATAAAATGGAGAATTGAATTATGTGATATGTGGTCATCCTTTTAAAATTCCATCCAGCTCTCATTTAATTATTCCATTAAGCCTTCATTATGTTCTCTTCTTACAGCTTCATTAACTTCATTTGTAACTCACAAATTTAATGAAGCTATATATATATATATATATATATATGTATATTCATTTACTTGTAACATTCACTTATTCATTAGATTTAAATAAGTAAGCTTCATTTAAGTGACCTAAAGAAACCTTCAAATAATATTTTTCATCGGACTTTTGACTCTAATGAGCTTTTTTGCGACATTATTATTTTTTTATTATTTTTTTATAACGTGGAAACGGACATTAATATATTTATGAGATTATTTTGGAGTTTTTCCTTTAAAGGTAACTTGATGATGATTTATCTTGGAGGCCAAAAAAGGAAGGATTGTAGTTTAATAACAAGCATATATATATTTAAATTAAGCCTAAGTAAGTAACCACGCCACCGTCCAATCCATGCCAAAAAAGAAGGATTGTAATAATTATGCAAATGTGACAATTAAATATATTAGAAAAAAAGAAGATTGGAGTATTGTATGGTAGGTGGGACTCGTGTAAGGCTATGAAGCTGGCCGAGGCTAATTAACCTTCTCGAAGGAAAGAAGGAAGGGTGACAGACAGGACACTTAATCATTACTCTTTGCCACTTTGCACACCAAATAATAATAATAAGTCCCGTAAGGAAAACCTGGTGGTGTAAGGGTGAATTTATGATCGTGAGGTCATAGATTCAAACTTTCAACGCTTAGGTCATCTCCGTTTAGAATGATTTTCTCGTCAGATCTGATTTGCAAAATTTTAAGTTCGATCAAAAATTTAGTTAGTGCGCACTTTCAGGTAGACTGCGGAGGTTCTCAAGTCATAATAATAATGAGCCAAGCAATGGAGTCACCATCAAAACCTGCACTTGTGGGCTTAGTGGAATTAAAAAGTGCTGCCTGTTAGTGCCAAGACCACGTACAGTGAGGTATTTAATTTCAATGCATTGATATTTTCTTTTTATAAAAAAGAAAAAAAAAAATAGTTTAAATTTAATATGAAAACTATATATATATTTTTAAAAGTTCAAATAGTAAAATATAAAAAATTTGAAAAAAAGAAACACACCATGTTATTGTTTTTATTTTTAGTTTTAATGTGTAGAGAATAATATGATAGTTTGTATTAAAAATAATATATTTTAATAATAAATCATAAATATTAAAGAAATTGAAAATGAAATATCAAAGTAAATTTTTATAAAAGTTTACTGTGTTTTTTGATAAATATATATTCTTTTTAGATTAGATATAGAAAAATATATTGATAATATATTAAATTGTGAATTTTTTGAAGTGACTAAACTAGATATTATATATAAAAAAAAATACAAAGTGAACAAAATGTCAAAATAACTATTCTCTCCGTTCGTATCTAAAGGCCATATTTATTTATTTATTTTTTTTGTTATTGTACTTAACATTAAAAATATTATTATATTTGTATAATTTTTATACAAATATCTTTCTATTAGTATTATAAAAAATATTTTTTATAATTTTTTCTTAATTTGTACTACATTTTGATATAATAATTAATGCTAAAAAATTAACACGCAAAAAAATAAACGGTGAATTCAATATTTGATTTGATAATACGATGAATATGGTGTCAAAAGAGTTTTTTTTTTTTTTTTCATTTTTTTTTTAAATTTGCCCTAAATTCAATATTTTTTGGTTCTTGAATTTTTTTCATGCTCCATAAATTTGATATATGAATTAGGTTTGTAAACTATGAATTCTGTCTTCCTGAATTCTTCCTCTACCCCAAAATCTTAGATTAATAAGATTTATATATGAATTAGGATTGCAACTGGAAATATCGTATGTTTCGTGTAAAAACTCCTCCCAAGGTAAATTTTGCAAAAATTCAGTCGAATGATACTCAATTTCACCCCTGAAAGTGGTATGTTACGTGTTTCGCGACATCTCGATAGCCGTAGATTTGGCCATACACAACACATGTATATTCTCTATCATTTTATCATCTGAGTCTAACGGTGATTCTAGCTCGTTACATTAATCTTGATCAATTCCTTCACAGTCAACTTCTAATATTAGTAAATTATCATATCTTGGCTCATATCTTCTATTGTAATTCACACTAGGAGTATCAATAATTGCATTTTCAGAATTTATTTGAAATTCAACAAATAAGTCCAAACACTTGTAATCATTTGTTGAGTTTAAAAAATGTTTGAGATTAACTGCAATGATAGCAATTAACCTTGATTTCTGAATTCTCTGGTCATGGGTCCAATTGTATGATATTTTTAAAATTATAGAATACGATCTTTTCCGATCATATAAAAATAATATTTTCTAAATTTTCAAGTGTACTATTACGCCCAATAAAAATTGTATATTTGATCTGATATCACAATTATATTCTATTATACCTAAATTACACCTAATATTTTCATCTCAATACAATAAAATATCAACACATCTGTTCAAACAAAAGAAAAGAAATTATTAATGCTACATTCATAGAAAAAACACATAAAATTATTTAAATATAAAAAAAATTATAAAATACATATTAAAATTATCAATATTAAAATAAATGAACAAAAAATAATAATAAGCAAATATAATTACATCACACAATATAATATTGTATAAATATATATGAAAGATTTTCTATAATACAAAAAATATATATATATTCCAAATTTATCAAAAAATTTATTCTAATAATCCATAAAATTTACAAGAATAAAATGCAATAAAATATTCAACAAAATAAAAAATAAGAAGAAAGAAAAAAAAAAAAAAAATTACCGTGAGCTGAATTGTTGAAAGTACAAGAAGAAGGAACAAATTAATAGAATGTATTAAACTTTTTTCAATGAGTTATAGCAAAGGTGTATTTGGTTGGTCGTCTTCTTTTATTATTATTAGTAGTAGTATTATTTTTTAAATTTTTTTAATAGTTATTTGGATATAATATGTTTTATTTATTTTTTTAAAAAAATTAATGTATTTTTGTAAAGAATTATAAAAATTGAATAATATAGGATGTGTTCACTTTGGTATTTTGGGGTGTAGGTATTTTTAAATTAGGTATGAGAAGAATTCCGCCAATATAAAAAATTAATATTTTATATAAAAATAATTGATTTTGTGTAAATGAATATGATATAAATATTTTATACTTTTATGATTATATATTTATTTGTGAAATATCTGTTATCTTTGGAATATATTTACTTGTAAATTAATTGAGACTCAAAAATATTATTGGGTGATCACATCTATTAAAAATAATAATAAAAAAAATAAAAAAAAAAATCAACAAAAGAACAAATTGTAAGTACTTAATTTTATATGTTAATTGATTTTTTTATTTAAATAATAATTGGATGAATATTTTTTTAAGGGATTATTGTGTATTTTTATAATAAATTGTGAATATTATACCATCTTTGTCCAGGGTCTTATTTATTTTTTGTTTTTGTATGTTAATTTTTTAATATTAATTATTATATTAAAATGTACAAATTAAGAAAAAATTGCAAAAATATTTC